ATCAAATGGCTTCGTCTGCTGGCAAGTCGGACTTTCTTCGCAGTGGCTCTCTTTCTGGAGTCTTGGGTCCCGAATTGCGGACTTTTCATAATGCTACGTGTGTTTTAGCTTTCTAGCGCGTTCTTATAAGTTGTGATGTTCACACAAAAGTACACTACGAAAAGAAGATGGGGCACTAAGAACATTGCTGATCTTCAGCTGCATCTAAAATTATAGCTCCTTTTGTTAAAATGGCTCCTTTTCAGTTGTCGCGTGCGACAAACTTCGCTATTTCCTTCGCCAGATTTAGGCGTGCTTTGGATGCAAATATTTTGGCTCCCGAAGTATTTCATCTTAACCCCAAGAAGAGCGATACAAAGTTATTCCGAAATGTTTGCAAGTAGGTTCACTCTACTTCGGTTATTGGGGGCCCACTTATGGTGTTAGTGATTCCTCTTTAACTTGAAAGACTTCTTTCAGATCACTTCCGGCGAGTCTTTCTTGGTTCGGAGCCGTAGCATTCAAAGCGTTTCCTCTTGATATGAGCCAGTACAAATCATTGTTCAATGGAACACGTATACCAAGAAAAGATAAAGACATTTTGTACCAGGTTGGAACTTCTTTGCAAAGTATTAGCGTTTACTAACTCCATGCGTAATTATAGGATACCAGACAGAAACACTTCATGGTCATGTGCCGTGGAAGGATTTATGCGGTGGACATCTTCGATGACAAAGGTTAGGTTGTTGAGAGACGCACTGAAGGCCCCTCTAGAAGGCAGTTTATTGGGTTCGGCAATGGGAAGCGGGGGGGAGGGCGGGTATGTTGTACTCTTGCCACTCTTGGCCTGCTGTCAGCCCTTACAAAGCAATGGAATACTACGCAAATACTGTTTACCATGGTGGCTCGACGAGCTTCTCCATCTCCTCTAGGGATACTAGGTTCTACCCAACTAAGACTGGTAGACTTGTAACTCGGAACTAGTGAGCAGCATATGTGCAAATCTCCCCTCTCTCCCCCCCCCCTCACCCCACCTCGTTGCCGAACTGCGCCGTTTAGGTGTTATTGCTTGTCTGCTTGTAAAATACGACAGAAGGACCAATAAAGGATGAAGTTGTCGCCGAGAGGGGCCGGCCTATGCACAACTGAAAGTTTTATCGTCCCAGACGAATGTGAAACGTTCCCAAACGATAGAAGAGTCTGGGATCAAAGCTGGATCGGCTCGCTGCTCAGGTCCTGTTAGGAAAGACGTTTGCGGGGGCAGGAAAGGAGGGACAGATAGATAGTACCTGGTATTCGGAGGAGCGAGAAAAAAACCTTGGCCTAGAATCTTATATTTCATCCTGGAGGGGCAGGGGGAGGCGTTTCCGTAATGTAATTTTCTCAGACCATTCGTACCGTTAGAGGCATCAGTGATAGCGGTGAGTGGTGGATGCCTGGATGCCTGAAAGGATTCATGTAAAAGATTATTTGAGACTCTGTCGATTCCTGTCCGAGACAGTCACAAAACTGTGTATTTTGCGTTTTCCCGCTATTTATTTTCCTTCAATTCCGCTAATTATTTTCCTTCAATTCAGGTAATATACTTCCTGCTGATTCCGTACATAATTCATTGGCCCATATTCTCAAAACAGCAAAGCAGCAAGATGCTGACAAATGCATAGGTTAGTTCATTTCTCTTCTTACTCTTCTTTTCGTTTTTTTTCCTTTCTAGTTTAGCTTTTTGTTTCGTTTTCTTTTTGTCAATAGTTTCCAGATATAGTCTAAAGTTATGCGTGCATATCATTCGCACCAGAATCGGAACCATTTAGCGTGGAATTGCTGCAGTATGCAAGGTCAACTAACTGGGAATTAACGTTAGTTTCTAAGAGACACTGCAGCGTGGGTTAACGTTCCACACCGGAGAGACCTTGTTTGAGATATCTCTTTCATATTCAGTGCGCCTTTTACTATCCCCATTTCGGCTTATCTTATGCAGATTCAGTAAGTCATGGTGGATCCAGTAAAAAGAGTAGTTCTTCTGACAATCCTTCTTCCAGCATATGTTCGACCCTGCTCCGCTTTCTCTTTGCGCTTATCCCTTCTTCACTCTTCCCTTTCCCTGCTTTCATGCTCTCTTTACTTATCCACTGCAACTTGTCAAGATAGTAATATTTAATTGTAGCTATTGTGTGATGTGTCTGATGTGTAGTTGTGTGATGTAGTATGATGTGTGTGTGTGTGTGCTCACTTCTCGCGAGTGCGCCACACAATCTCTAGTCCTTAAGAGTTTTTGCGATCTAGCTCATTGCAAGCCAAATATTAGCTGTTCAATTCGCCTCCCTTATTGGGAGCCAAGGATTCTGCAAGGTCATTTAAACGTGCCTACCGAGATTTTCCCGCTCAGGTTCTTTGACCAGTTTGGATCGCGACACATGGGCGAAAGTTCGTGATGAAATGATGGAGGCTGGTAATGCCCAGAATTTTGAAAAGGTTGATGGTGCTCTCTTTACTCTCTGTCTGGACGACTTGAAATCGCAGGATCCTATTAGGTAGTTATAGAATTTGAGAGAGAAATGAATGTGAACCTTTCTATGAAATGATGAGATTCAGACTCACTCAGTCCCTCCTTATTGGTGATGATGCAAGTAATCGTTGGTTCGACAAGAGCTTCTCCCTTATCATGGATGGTGAGTATAGAGAATTTTTTTCCTTTAAAGGCAGTTGGCACGATGATTTGGTGCTCGGCCTAAAATGCTAGTAGGGCGCTATATAGTGGGGAAATGGCGAAAGAACGGAGTGAAACGGTCAAAATCCTGCGAAAAAAAGAGCCTCCGTTCTCAATGTGTTAGAAATCAATTTTGGACGAGTTTCCTGTAGGCATCTTGCCTAACCGCTACCGAAGGTACGGCTGCATATGTGTACTCATATATCCATGCAGCATCACGGCCGCTTCATACCAATCCCTTCGCTTCATAA